CAAGGTTTTGGACACTGAATGTCTTACCAAATTTTGCACTGGTTGTGTAAATAAAGTAAACATAGAAAACCCAGAAAAAATGGCTAGACATAAGGAATTAGGTTGTAAAGCAAACTACACCGGCTCGAGTGGTGGGATGGAGGTGGAAGGTGCCAAAGCATTGTGTGGTCGTTCTGAAGAAAAGCTGGGCCTCAGATATAAAGAATATCTTGGAGATGGGGACTCCAAAGGGTTTTCAGCAGTTTTGGAGAACAATCCTTATGGAGATGAATTTGAAATCTCCAAACTGGAATGCGTGGGCCACGTACAAAAACGTATGGGTACCCGCCTACGAACATTGAAGCGGAACTTCAAAAAAACTAAACTTAGCGATGACAAGTTTATAGGAGGTGTTGGTCGCCTGACAGGGGCTGAAATTGACCAATTGCAAACTTATTATGGGAAAGCAATTAGGAGCAATTTGAGCAGTGTAGCGGATATGCAAAAAGCCATATGGGCTACTCTCTATCACCGGATGTCGACGGATGCCGAGCCTATGCACGACTACTGCCCAAAAACGAATGATACCTGGTGCAAATATAATAAAGCTAAATTGAATGGAGAAACTTATAAGCACCTACACCCTCTACCTAAGGCTGTGTGTGAGGTAATGAAACCTATATACCAGGATTTAACAAACAAAGATTTGCTTTCTCGCTGCCTCCATGGCCGAACGCAAAATCCTAACGAGAGCTTTAATGCTACCATATGGCAAAGGTTACCTAAAACTGTTTTTGTAGGCCTAGATGCCCTTAGGCTAGGAGTTGCAGATGCTGTGATTAGTTTTAATGAAGGAGCTGTAGGAAAAGCCAATGTATTAAAAAGGCTTCAGATCAATCCCGGCAAATTCACGGTTTTGGGCCTGAAACGGATCGATGCCGAACGTATAAGAAAAGCTGACAAGGAAATAAATGAAGAAAACAAGAAGAGAAGGGTGCAGAGAAGAAAGATGAAGAGAAAATTGGAGGACAAAGAAGAAGAAACCTACTGTCCTGGAGGTTTTTAGTGGTGGAGACGTATGTGTTATGTTTAAATGCGAATTCCCGAAACTTGTGTTTTTCTTATCTTAGGTACATTTATTTTAAAAACGGTTAAAGATACATCAGTGAATTTTTTTATGCATCTTGTGGACTACCTAATGGGATTACCCTAGCAGTTTAATAAAGGTAGGTTGCATGAAAACAATTTTATACCTGTAATAAGAAAAATATATAAAATAATTTTTACGAGTAAATTTTTATTTTATTTTTTTATATAGAAATATTTGTATTGGAACTATTATTTTGGTACAGCATGTTTATAATATCATAGTTAAAAAGTGGTAAAAATTTGGGGTTGGTAGCTCAAATGGTTGAGGAGATAATGGTACCTAAAGTTATGCTTGTTAGCCCATTTAATTAACATTGGATTCGCGAAAGGTACCAACTCCCCTACATGACGTCCATATAATGAAGACAAATCTTGATTATTTTGCATTTTTTAATTGTATTGGCAATTTATCAATTTGCAATATATTTAATTTTTTTAATTGAACTAATAACTATATGAAAGTACGAAAACGATTTGTCTGGCCCCAACTAGCAGAGTCTTTTCATTTAAGCGTCTTCAACACTTTCATTACCACCCGTAAACATCTCTTAATGTGAACGTTTGCGAATATTTGTCAATAATTAATGATTTTTTTTATTTGTAAAACGAACTTTCATTTGGAAACATTTTATAATTAATAAATGTATCGATACAAACAAATTACGATGTTAAAAAAATTCAGAAGTCCTAAAAAGACTAGAACTTTCGTACAGGCAACTTTCATTTGTAAACATTTTATAATTAATAAATGTATCGATACAAACAAATAATTGTTTGTGACGTTATTATATAAAAAAGTAACAGGTTGCATCTCAATAAGACTCAATAAGAATAAGACTCAATAAGAATTATCTCTTAAAGCTTTTCTTATTTGCATTCTATGATATATAATACAGTTTATTGCTGTAGATTTTTTAAATGCAGTGTTATTTGTGAGAATGTGTTTAACTATTTGATTTTGTGATAATGTTAACTACATTGCAAAAAGTGATTTATTTAGTTTAGCTCTCAAGTCATCACGTGCTTAGTAGTACAAGATTATGAGTATTATTATTATTTTATTATTATATTGCATACAAAGTGTTTTATCATAATAACGGTTTGATCTCTTTGGTTTTGTGATATTTCTAGTTTTACATAGAAGCCTATAGCAGGCTTATTTCTTAGCTTAAAAAAATTAACAATACTACAATCTTTTTGACCAAACTACAATGATTTTTGTGAAATAATTGTTTGTAACATAAAATAATTAGTAATAATTGGTTATACAAAATAAGAAAAGGTTGCATCTCTTAAAGTTTTTCTTATTTTCATTATGATATATAATACAGTTTATTGCCATAGACTTTTCAAATGCAGTGTTATTTGTGAGTACCGGTATGTGTTTGACTCTTTGTGTTTGATTTTGTGATAATGTTAACTACATTGCAATAATTATAAAGTGACTTATTTAGTTTAGCAATACCTCTCAAGTCATTAAGCATTTAGTACAAGATTGTGATTATTATTTTATTATTATAGGGTATATTAAGTGTTTGTTCTCTTTGATGTTGTGGTAGTTTTGATTTTATCTTAGACTAATTACCAATATTCAATGATTTTACCTAAAAACCTATAGGGTCTAGCAGGTTTATTTCTTCATTTACAAAAATTACTATAGGCCTACAACTTACAAAAGATCCTGCGCATAAACCGTTTCACGAGTCACTCGCGCGCGCAGAGGGGTGACGGTGGCGGCGCTGGCGGGGAAGTGGGGGAGGCAGTGGTGGGGATCAGTTGTGCGCTGGCGCTGCCACCAGTCTCGTCGTATCGTCTCTGTGCCCGCGCGAGCCCCGGCACCGGCTCGACTCGGGGGCAGTGACCTTGATCATGGCCTCAACCTCTAAATCGTCGTGTTCTTCTGGTAGACCATTGCGAGGTCAAGCACGCGAAGTTGTTTATAACGTTTACAAACATTTGAAGGAGCAAAAAGAGCAGCTTAAACTTAAATATAATGTTGCTGAATCAGCAAGTATTGCCACCGGCGTGTCAATTGCATTAGTTAAACGTATTGCAGCTAAAGGGAAACAGTCCTTGGTCAGTAAGGGGTCCCTAAATTTTTCGACGCCGTCGGGCAAATCTAGAAAAAGAAAGTCAAAGATTTTTATCGACGGATTCACGCGAGATGTGATTAGAAGGAAAATCCACGAGTTTTACGTCGTAAGAAAAACACCACCCACTTTGTCAAAACTGAAATCTGTGCTTGAAGAGGAAAACGTTTTGAAGTGTAGCCGCGAATACCTTAGACGAACGCTTCATCACATGGGATTTCGATGAGAAAAATGTAAAACAAACAGAAAGATCCTTATGGAAAAGCCGGAAATAGTGAAATGGAGGGCAGATTATTTGAGAGAAATCAGACGTTTAAGAAACCAGAATAAGACCATAGTGTACCTAGACGAAACTTATGTAAATAAGAATCACACTGTTTCAAATTGTTGGCAGTCTGAGTCTGAGTTAGGCTCAACAAAGTCCATAGGAAAAGGCCCTAGACTCGTTATAATTCACGCAGGTTCTAAACAGGGATTTGTGCCTAATGCACTACGTATGTGGCAGTCTGATAAAAAGAAAAAACAATCAGAGGACTATCACGACGAGATGAATTTCACGAACTTCTCAAAGTGGGTTTCAGAAGCACTTTTGCCTAACATTCCCCCCCAATGTGTAATAGTTCTCGATAACGCAAGTTACCATAATAAGCAGGATGGCAAAAAACCAACCGCCTCCTCAGTCAAACAGCAAATAATCGACTGGCTCTTGAAAAATAACATTACTTGTTCACCAACAATGACAAAATCAGAATTACTAGTTCTTGTAAAATCTGCTCCCGTTCCAAAAACGTACACAATAGATAAGCTGTTTTATGACGCAGGGCATGATGTTTTACTCCTGCCACCTTACCACTGCGATTTGAACCCTATCGAACTCGTTTGGGGCGATATCAAGGGAAGATTAGGAGAGTGTTTGGCCGAGAGTATGGCTGCAAAGAAAGAAATGTGTATGAGACTTTTTTCTGAATATACGCCTGAAAAATGGAAGAAATGTTGCGAACATGTGGAAAAAATTGAAGAATTATATTGGGAGAGGGATGCACTAATGGACGAAAATGTGGATAGGATTATAATATCATTAAATGACGATGATAGCGAAAGCAGTGAAAGCTCGGATAATGAAACCATTCACAGTTTGCCAAGTGAAGATGGAAATAGCGATTTTGAGGACATACGAGTGCTCGATTTCGACAGTTACTAACTGAACGATGTTGAAAATATGATGTATTAGTGTAGGATGAGTGTTTATTTCAAAAAATATTTTGTTAGGTGTGAGAACTATTTCTGTTTAAAGGTTTACGTGCAAGAATAGTAATATAGGCTAATATTTATATAGGCCTATACAATATATTGAGAGTGAGCGAAACAACCAGTGCATTATCTGTTTGTAAATACTGCCGTTTGAAGAACATACACATGCCGTCTAGCCGTCTACACGTCCAATGGAATAATGGAATAAGGTAGTAGAATTTCCTTATGTACTTATTTAATAGTTTAAAACATATTTGAATGTACTATTAACTCGTATACATGTATATTTTACCTTAAAACATGTTATAGATTTTTTTATAAATAATTATTACAAAAAAAGTCACAATTTTGTTGTTAAACTATTGAGGGCATAAAAGGCACGTAATTTGTAAATAAATTAATGGCATTATCATGGGTTCAAAGTTACACCTGAAACCTTATATTAAAATTTAAAAAAGAATTTACGCTATACTTATGACTATGTTTTTTATTTTTTATTAATAATTAAAACTTAAGTTACTCAAAGCAGCGATGGCCTGGTGTGGAGTATGGGCACGTATGGGTGACGCGTTGGCGACCGACGTGTCGTCGGAAGTCGGAAGGTGAATAGAGCGGGATCAGTGGCGGTGGTCGGGGTAGTAGGGGAGGGGGACTCGATCCCCCGCCACACCGCTGAAACCGCTCTCCCCCTCCACACCTGCGCGAGCCACGCCGTGTGAAGGCTCTTTTCTAAGTTGTTTACCTATAATCCTACATTCTTTCTTTCCAAACCTCAATGATATTTCTGAAATTGTTTCTAGTATTGTTATATAAAATAAGTAACTGGTTGTATCTCTTATAATTTTTCTTATTTATTCTGTGATATGTAATACAGTTTATTGCCGTGCTTTTTTCAAAAGGAGTGTTATTGGTGAGAATGTGTTCGATTTTGTGAAAACGTTAACTATATTGCAATTATTATGAACAAAGTGATTTATTTCGTTTAGCTTTTAAATCACCACACATTCAGTACAAAATTATTTGGTTATTTAAATATCTCCTTACATATTTTAGACATAGCCTATCTATTAGTTGTGTCCGTGTCCTATGTTATTTTATACCAAAGCTGTTAATTTTGTAATATTGAGATTCTGTGTTCATGTATTAATGTAGTTAAATATTTTATCTCTGTTATTCTCTGCTGTTGTAAAATAAGTTGAAATGTATTAATTAGTGGCAACGCAATCTTTAGTTCCTCATGCTCGACCTGATGAATTTTTATTTTACGATTACTATCTTTGCTAACATATTGTCATATTTTAAACATTTTTTGTTTTCTGCAGTATAATATAATTTGAAGTCAGGTAAAATTTGAACTTTAAAGCTAAGAATTTGATATTTTCTTCTTCTAACGTTTCAATTTATCATTAGGCCTATGATGTTGTTAAATCAGATGTTTTAATTTTTTTTAATAATTACATCGTATTATCACACACAAGATTTTTATTTATATCGTTTTTCATCTGTGATTTTACTTTTTTTAGACTGGATAAATTATATTAAATTCTTATTTTTCACTCTAAAATAAACGCATGAAAAGTGTTTTATTTGATAGTAGCACATAAAACAATATATTGTCGATAAATTAACGTACAATTCTGAACTAGGCAACACTCTTTTATGGTGAAATTGTGCGAGCATATACCCCATGAATTTTTCAAAACTACCAGTGAAAACCTTGAATTATGCATGAATTTTTTTATCTCACTTTGTTGGCAACCCTGAAACTACGATGTTAAACAATTCAGAAACCCTAAAAAGACTAGAACTTTCGTACAGGCAACTATACACCAGGCGGGCGAACGATGTGGGAACTGGAAGACCGGCCTATGTGGCACAAGATAGAATAATTGCAAGTGCTACGGATGACCTCTATCGAGGGTTTTCTTCTATCTTTGATGTCTTGATGCAAACGAGCCAATCGGTCAACGACGCCATTGTCACTCCTGGCGTTGACAGTGAGGAAGAAGAGGATGACGAGGACATCGGGCCACCGGCGCAGGGACCACCTAACTTCGGTGAGTCAATATTTTATGGTTGAAAGATTGTATATCCTATTTTATCATCGTACATTTAACGATAATTGGGTGATTTTAATTTATTTTTGACTCTGGGCCGTGATGAGTATCGTTTACCTACAATTGTGGTTTTTTTTTCAATATCACAATATATATTACATTATAAGTTGGATGAAACTTTGCACCGTTGGTAGGGAGCATAATGCATCACTAACCAGAAATTGTGGCTAGTAATTTTGACTTTGAAAACACCATAACAAGGAAAATGGATTTTTTTATAATAAAATAGGTAAGTTCTTTCTCATTCTCTTACTGGAATATATATTCTGGAACTTTATAACGGTTGTACAGTTTGATTATATTAAAGAAGTAATATTGTAAACAACGCTCCATTTACAGATCCGGCAATCCTAGATATGGACATACAACCCAGGAACAGGGCGTGGGATAGGAAGGAAGGACCCGTGAAAGTTGAAAGAGGAATGAACCGTGGGCTAGAGATGGTGGAAGGTAAATATTGACACAATAAGTAACATACGTACAAGGGGGGGGGGAGAAGCCATGGCTTGGTATAGTTTATTACAAATGTAAAAACAATATAAACGAAACCCACGAGTTATTTACAACTGATGTGGGTTTGTATTATTTAGTGTAGACTCTTATGGACGAGTTAATCTCCTACTCACCTATTGATAAAAATCGGTGAGTTATACATTTCTTTACAACAACTGTACACAATTTTGAACTTTGGAGGTCATTTCATTTCAATGTTTTCTGTAGCCTAGATGAAGAAAATGTTGTTGATCCTGCCATTCCTATCACTTAACTGCACCAACTCGTGGTGGTGAGAACAATTTTACTTACATATTACATTTGCTTTATATTATTTGTGAAAAATAAATTATAACAAGAAAAATCTGTTGTGTAAGATTTTATTTGGAGATAAAATTGCATACTTTTATTTAAACGTAGTGTTCGGGACTAATAGCTGGACCAACTATCGTCTCATGCAACCATCAGCTGTGTTGCTCACTTAATCCTCGTTTCCGTTCGCAAGTTGTTACATTATATTGCTGTTAGTTCAGCAATATGTATTCTTAGTGGTGTTTATTTTAGTGATTGTAGTTAAGTATTATCAATGATACACGATTGTGTCTAATTACAGACAAATGTTTTTAATCTACCAACTAACCTCAGTATTTTGTTTTGTTGATGTTACTTTTGCTTATGTGGATATTGCCTAGCTTACTCGAGTTAGGTTAAAATAATATCTATATATATAATTCCGTAAGTCAAATTTTTGTAAAGAAATTGTGAGTGACTGGATGGCCGTAGAAGGATGGGAGGGGTCTTATTTTAAAGGTCTTGACGTGAATTTTGAGGGAAAACTATTCATTTTTCTTATTTTTTTACCATAAATTCGCAACAGAATAAAACTTTTCCCATTAAAACAACATGGGGTTTAATTTGTTTACATCTTTTGAAATGAAAACAGAAGTCATTTACTGCTGATTTCTGTTTACTTCAATACAGCTGATCGTGCTATATCTTGAAAACAGTGATCAATACACGCATTTGGTTGACTTTTAGCCAGTCAACTATGAAATGTATATCTACAGGGTGTCCCGGAACTCTCTACCAAAATTGTAGAGCATTGTTCCTGAGTTAGAAACATATGTAAATACCATATTTAAATTGTCCGGAAGTCCTTATTTACTTAGACAGCCGCCATTTTGTTTTTTTCACTTATTAATTTTTTTCCAAAAAATGGATTAACATACGAAATTGAAACTTTGCACAAACATTTATGACAACCAAACAAAGCTACAAAAAAATTATGAAGATTTTCCAAATTCATAAAACAAAATGGCGGCCATTTAAAATTTTGTTTATTAAATAGCCCAAAAACCGTTGATTTTACAAAAAATTTTAATGGCCGCCATTTTGTTTTATGAATTTGGAAAATCTTCAAAATTTTTTTGTAGCTTTGTTTGGTTGTCATAAATGTGTGTGCAAAGTTTCAATTTCGTATGTTAAACCATTCTTTGGAAAAAAAGTAATAAGTGAAAAAAACAAAATGGCGGCTGTCTAAGTAAATAAGGACTTCCGGACAATTTAAATATGGTATTTACATATGTTTCTAACTCAGGAACAATGCTCTAAAATTTTGGTAGAGAGTTCCGGGACACCCTGTATAATAAAACTGAAATCTTGAAGATTAACCGGAAAAACGTCTGCATTCTTTGTTTATATTTAAATCATATACTCAAGTTTAATTTTTTCATGCTTTTACGTTATTGTCGTGTTAAAGGAATAAACGACATAGAATAAATATTCTGTATAAATATTCAAAGAGTCAAAATTAAATCTAACTTCTGTTTTGTTTTTATTTTTAAATCATATGTTCAAGTTTATTTTAAATGATTTTGTTTTCTTTATATTTCTACACATTTTAAGGTTAAGGTTGTGTTATTATATACAACTAAAATAACCTACAAATGTTATTGGTTCTAAAATGGTGTATTTGCATTCCTTCGTAAGTAAATATTTTTTTAGTGCAGTGAATATACAACGTAGAGTCATCATATTCGATCATACTTTTATAAAATCACCAGGGATTCAAGATGTTTTGGTATGTAGGCTGCTGGATATATATTCTTTTCATTATAAGTACTGTAATTGATATGAACGCCAGGGGAAGACCACAAAGGCAGGGAGCTGTTCATAGGAATGACAGTGCGCGTAGAAGAGCAAGAGTAGATAATGACGAACTTAATCAAGATATGTTACAACCCCTTTTTAGGAGACCCATGGTAGACGAGAGAAATGTAAATATCCATGATGCAGGATTACTGGACCAAGAGTGCATTCAATGTAGTGCTCTTCATTATAGAGAAGAACTAACGAATAATCATTTTATGACATGTTGCCATAACGGACTTATTAACCTTCCTCAGCCAAAAACTAATGTAGAACTTAAAAACTTTTTTGAAGAGAGCCCATAACTGTATAAATTCATTCGACAATACAACAGTGCGATGGCTTTTGCTTATTTTTCAGCCAGTAAGAAAGATATTCCAGGAAAAGGACCATACTGTTTCAAAATTCAAGGACAGATTTATCGTTCAATCTCAGATTTGTTGCCTCAACATGATGAAGACCCCGTGTATGGCCAATTGTACATTATTGACACATCAACAGCAACAGAAATTCGTCAAAGGCGTCGGAATATGGATCGTCGTAGGTATAATAAGCCTACTGCAGATGAAATTGCAGGCGTCTTTAATTCATCTGAAGGCGAACCTCCAATTAATTTTTTAAATTCCAAATAGGGAAGCTTTTATTTATCCTCATTAACCACAAGACCAAAGCTACCTTAGTAAACCAGTATTTATTCACAAACAATGATATGTTTGCTGCCTTTTCATGTTAAACCACTGGAGTGATTCAAATTATTTATTGAAAATGACATCAACAAAAGCAAACAAAGAAGAACAACAAACTGGTTTTTACACAAAAGATATGGTGTAGGGATGCCTATTCTGACACATAGATAATGTTATTCTGAGTTTGTTTAAATACCGGAATTGCAATATGTTGTTTTACATTTCAGCTTTTTAGGGACTTGTGTCCCTACAAGCCACTAGTTTTTTATATACGTGTGGTTTATTATCCGGTCAAGACTTTGTGGTCACCCGGTATATTATGTTCTGTGACATATTATTTATTTTTTTGGTGCCAATGTCATAAAAAATTATTAGTCACAAAAAAACATTTGCTCCGGTACTGTAATTAACTATGACGTGAAATTACTTCTGGTGTACATTTATTTATTCTGTCAGAAAATGGTGGGCAGCCTAGAGAAATGTACTTACAGATGTACTTAGGATGATTAAGGTATGTATATGCAAATGTATGTTAAACTTAGGTTAAAGTGGGGGAAAGTTTGAGTACATTTAGTTTTTTTTTTATTATTGAACTTTTTGTATAAACTATTTTATAAACTAATATTTTGTGCGTATGCTTGTACCTAAAATTTTAATTTTAATTTAATTTAATTTTTTATAATTTTTACTATATATAATGCATAATATTCATTACTTATTCTGTAATATATCAACTAATCAATTTCATATCAAGAAAAACCTAATAATCACAATAATCGGAAGTTTTTACACTAAGTTTAACAAAAACATTATCACTTAAAGCATTTAAAAATAAAATATATACCGGTACAGTATGTGGTTAAAAAAAAAAAAAAACTGTTACTAATGAAAAATATTGTTTTCTATTGTCACTGACTCGAGTTACATATAGATTTTCTACGCCATTTTGCTTGGCTGATGCAGGGTGGAACAGAAATTCTAGGTGGCTAGTCTCCCCTAAACCCTTATTCAGTTACCACTGTAATAAAGCTTTTTTATTATCCGTGTTTCATGTATGGCTAACGATTTAGTGCCCTAGTGTTGGTAAATAGCCTACTCTCATTTTATCTAAACATAGCTTGCACTTTATACTTGATTCAAGTCGTGACAACGAATGCTACCGAATCTAAACCACAAGTACCACAAGCTCGTACACGTTCCTCGCCCATGTTTACCGAAAAAGCTCAACGAATATTGTTCGCATGAGCTCATGCTCCGCGCTCGCCTGGGCTCGTCTCCTTTGACTCATCCCTTAACACGACAAAAAACCTGAGCTTAGGCAAGCGCAAATCATGGCGAAACGAACTATACATGAGCAAACCAGGTACACCAAAGCTAGCTCTAGACATGCTCCATTCGCCAAGCACAAAATATTTGACTAGCTGATCTAGATGTCTTGCTGTTTGCTGATTAATGAGTAGACGTCTCCACACATGTTGTTTTCCGAGCAACTTTTCATTTTTTGAATAGTAAATATTCGTTCACTTTAAGGTGTGCAAAAATACGGACAATGAACAGGAACACCCGAGCACGAATGTTTGCTGCTTGCCAAATGGGCAACACCTATCCACACTACGTGCGATTTGTCAAGTCACTGCTCAATGCTTGGCAAACGGCGCATGTCTGAAGCCGGCTTAATATAAGTACCTTAGCTGGCCTATATTCGGCGATAGTGAACTGCTACCATTCCATTAAACTGTTTTGTATTTCAATAAATTGAGGTTTAGTGTTTTTCTATACAGCCGATCAAGTAAAACCAAGGAAAATATCTTCAAACAAAGTTGTCCACAGTGTTAATTTTTTCTAAAATACATTATTTATTAATATGTATACATAATCAATGGTAATTGCGCAAATGCACATGCAACACACTGTGGAACCTGTAAAAAGAGCTGTTTTGTATGTTGTTTTGTTCGTTATGTTTTTTATAGTTTATTTTTTTTATCTGATATAAATAAAACATATATTTACCAAAATGCTAACACAATGGTGTCTGATTATCTGTTTTAGATAGAAGATTCAACACCTGTTGACAATATAATAAGTCATGACTCTGATGCTCTTTTACCTACAACTAATACATCA